TTATTTATCTGAAGGTGTGCACTGTCCTTGACCTTTCTCTTCTGATAAATATACCTATAGAACCCCTTCTTGTTATTTTTTACATCCCTTCCCAATTTCAGTTCATTCTTTGTCTGGGTTTTCCTAGTCCTATCTTTACATGTCTGGACAGTATCCCTGTATTCCTCCCAGGCCATGCATCGCTCATTCCACTGCCTGTCCGTTTTCTTTTCATTGCTCTGTTTAACCAACAGGTCCTTGCTCAGCCGTGCTGCTTTCCTGCCTCCACTGTTTGATTTCTTATACTCAGAGCTCTTGTGCTCTCTGAAAGGTGTCCTTAAACAGAGCTGCCAGCTCTGTTCCATTCCTATGTCCCTAAGGACAGTTTCCCAGGGGATCTCATCCAATAATTCCTTAATCAGCCTGAGATTTGCTCAGTGGCAGTTCTTTGCAATCTATCAATTTCTTAACATACAGGGCAACAGTTCCCCTCTTCCTTCCCTCTTATCTCTTTTAAAGTGTCTGTAGCTCTCAACTGCAATGCTGTAGTTGTGTGATTCATCCTCCCATGTTTCTTTGAGAGCAATTGGGTAATTTTTTTCTAATTGCTCTATGGTTTCTAACTCTTCAACATCTTTCCATGATACATGATGTCTTTTTATATATTTTGTAGTCCTCACTGCAGCTTCATTCAACCCAACTTGAGAAAATAGAAATGGATAGTAGCTCTCCAGCTTTATCAGGTATGATGACCTCTTCTTGACATTGCATATGCAGGCCTTTGGCAGCTGCAAACCTCACTAGATTGTCACAGAATCACAGAATGGCCAGGGTTGGAAGGGACCTCAAGGATCATCAATCTCCAAACCCCTGCCACATGCGGGGCCACCAACCTCCACTTTTAATACCATGGACCCAGGCTGCTAAGGGCCCCATACAACCTGGCCTTGAACACCTCCAGGATGGACGGGGCATCCACAGCCTCTCTGGGCAGCTGTTCCAGCATCTCACCACTCTTTCTGTAAAGAACTTCCCCCTGGCATCCAACCTGAATCTCCCTTCCCTCAGCTTAAAAACACTTCCCCTTGTCCTGCAGTTATCTTCCCTTTCAAAGTGTTCATTCCCCTCCTGTTTGCAGACTCCCTTTAGGTACTGAAAGGCCGCAATGAGGTCACCCCACAGCCTTCTTTTCTCCAGACTGAACAAGCCCAGCTCCCTCAGCCTGTTAAAAAATTCACTGGAATGCTGATGATGTTGAATGATGATGATGGTGTTGCTGGAAGCCACTTATGTGTTTTTGAAGGCCAGCTGATTGTTGCTGGAGGCTAACTGGGTGTTGACAAGCAGTTGCACACTGTTGGAGGCCAACTGGATGTTGCTGAAAGCCACCTGAGTATTGCTGCAGGCCACCTGGGTGTTGCTGGATGTCAACTGGGTACTGTTGGAGGCCAACTGGGTGTTAACAAGTAGTTGCATGCTGTTGGAGGCCAACTGATTGTTGCTGGAGGCCAGCTGGGTATTGACAAGTTTTTGCACACTGTTGGAGGCCATCTGGGCGTTGCTGGAGGCCAACTGGGTGTTTCCAGAGGCCAGCTGAGTGTTGACAAGCGGTTGTATGCTGTTGGATGCCAACTGGGTGTTGCTGGAGGCCAGTTGGGTGTTGCTGGAGGCCAACTGGCCCCTTTTGGTGGTCTGGGGGCTCACAGCTAGGTGGGGGACCTTCTGTCTATGCTGGTGGCAGTGAACCTTCAGGTTGCCGCACATGGTGAACTGGTTGCCACAGACACTACAGCTGTAGAGCCGTTCACCCATGTGGGACCTCAGGTGGATCTGCCAGGCGCTTTCGCTCCCAAAGCCCTTCCCACAAAACCCACACTCGTGTCATGTCCCCCCCATATCCCCCACACTGAAATTTGGGGGGTGGGTCAAGACCACCATCATCACCCCAACTCCATGGTAGGGTGTTGCCAAGAAGAAAGCAGTGGCATGAGGTTGGTTTTTGGGGGGAAAAAGTGGGAAAAAAGGTTTCCCCATGATGAAATGCAGCTTTTTGTGAGGGGGGGGAGGTGAGGCAGGGAGGGCATGGGATTTTGGGGTGCTCAGAGCCCCCAGGAGGAGGACCTGGTGACAGATGTCTTCAGTCCGCTGCACCTGGTGGAGCTGACGCTGTTGCAACACCCCGTAGCTCATCCAAGTGGCAAACAGGTGCTTCAGTCCTCTCATTAAGAACTCTCCAATTACTTATACCCCTCACACTTTTCTGGTGTCACTGATTCTATTACAGATACCAATTGGTTGGTCCAGTTTAATGTGGTTGTCCTTTCCACTTCACCTCTCCTTTTTCCATCCCCAGAGCCCCATCTCCCTTGTACAGGGGCACTTCTCTCTGAGCGCAGAAAAGAATCCAGCCTCCCTTTTCTTGTACTTTGCTATAGTCTGTCACCTCAGGGTTGAAAGCTAGCTTAGTTTCTTCCCCTTTGCAGGGACTCACCCATGCTAACTGCCATGCAGCAGGATAGATGCATGTCTTGATCATGTCTGTCTGAGCATATGAAAGGTCAGCGACAGGTATATGGCTTGGAAGATGATGGTGAAACAACTGCTATCAGGTCAGCAGACAGAGCACAAGAAAGTTAATGGGTTGGGACATCTGCTTGAGGTGTGGCTTCTGAGATGGTGGACCTTTCCTTGCAATAGGAAACAGAAGGAAAAAGGTCAACCATCACAGAGTGCAACTTTGAAGGTGAAGAAGAAATGTCCCTCAAAGGCTGATGCAGTGGTGTCAGAAGTCACACAAGGAATCTGTGATCAGCTCATGCCTTTGTGTTTCAGTGACCATTTGGTGAGGATGGAGAGATACTGATGAGGGTATGGAAATTACACTGAGAGCAAGTTGGAAAAGTGAGGAGGATGGCTACAGCCTGCAGGGAATGGGGGCATGTGTGGGACAGTGTAGGACAGTAGTGGTTACGGTGGAGTGCACCAGTGAGGCTGGAAGGCCCCGACAGCACCAAGGTTTTTGTCCCCTTTGCTCTGGCACCTGTTTCGTTATTGAAACCCATGAGGAGATGCATGGTCCATATGGCACTGAGACCTTGTTGTTTCCTGGCAATACTGAGGGAAGCCTGGAGGTGTTGTTTGATTCTCCTTCATTCAGTATTGCACATCCTACATCCCACTGCTCAGGAAGGGCCATGATGAGGAACAGAAATCTCCCTTCCCAAGGTCTGGGGGGCAAGGCTCAGTTTTTTTGCTTCATCAAACAAAGCAAAGGCTTTCAGAGGCATCAGAGCTGTGTATCAAGTGCCCTTGCCTTCCTGTAATCATGGCCTCCAATTATCTTTTCTAACGAGTCCATGGCATGTCATTAATGGCCCTCTCTGGGTCCCATTAATACTTCAAGACACTTTAGCATTTCCTTCTGACTTTATCTTCCAGAGTGGTGACGTCAGTTTCCTCTCAATACCTGAGGCTCATTGACTTGTCACCATGGGACTCATTAAAGTGCAGAGTGCCTTGACAAGCCACTTTCATTTAGTCTTAGAGATGTATGGTTAATTAGATTTCAAGAGTGCAGTTAAAAAGGAAGTTTTCAGTGACTACATACTAAAAAAGAATGTTTTATTTTTCCAGATGTTTTTCCTTGCTTTTCATTTTAGACAAATAGTGATAGCAACATTCCCCAACTGATATTGATCCAGGGTGTCTCCTAAGGAGATCTGGGCAGGTGGGAAAAACAGTCTCTTGAGGATGGACTCCGTATAGATAATCTGATTGCTCACCTCCCCAGGTGTGCCATTTCTCTCATTGGTCACCTGAGACTTGCTTCACTTTTCTTTACCTCTGATTTCTCTGCTGTTGTTAAAGCTGGATGTTACAGCTCTTTTCCACCAACTTTTGCCTGCTTTCCTTGGAGAATTGACTGCAGACAGCCACAGAAAGGTTTATTTATTTATTTAAAGTAAAACGGATAAGATCTATGAGAACAAGAAAGCACGGTCCTCAGCTCTGTGCCAAATCCAAGCTGTCTCTAATGAAGTTTGTTTTTGTCACCCAGTGCTGCAGAGGTCAGCTGGGTTCTCTTAGGGATCCTTGGCAGAAGGATTGGCCACAGTGGCATGGTTGTAATTAGAGAGTTATTATGTATGTGTGTAAACATATATATATACATAAAACGATCAGTGTTGCTTACGAGCTACAATTTCTAGCACTTGATGTAGCTGCACACCATTTTTAGAATTCTCAGTTGCATAAACTTTTCAGCCACCTGAACCCTCTGCAGATGGCATACAATTCTTACTCGTCAGCATGCAAGACATCCACAGCCTGGGCTCAGACTGTGTTAGAAGGACAATGAGCTCAGTCCTTAGTCCTCAGAGGAAGAAGGCAGCAGGGGAAGCACCCCTGGCCACAGGGGAATCGTGGACCTGGTCATTAAGTGGAGGCTGTGGGCTAAGTCTAGGACTTGTAGCTGCTTGATTTTACAGACCGTGCTCCTGTGCTCTTACACTTCCCTGTCCAGCCAACAAATGTCACCATATCTTGGCAACCCAGCACTAGGTTTTTGATAATGCTGGTGGGTGCAACCCCTGCCAAGGGTGTCCCACACCCCTGTAGCATCCCAGCGCTTGGCCTGGTGTTGTGCCAATCATCCCACGACGGAAAAAAAACAAAATGTTGCCACTGACACCAGCCTAAGAGTCACATACTGATCAGCAGTGCATACTTGTTTTCTCTAACATTATTTCCTTCTCACGGGAAGAATAGAGGAAAACCATTCCTCAAGTCATGTAAATACAAACCAGAATTCATTTACTTAAGAGCAGATCAGATTTAAAATAATATCTCGTATCCTATGGGACTGTCCAATAGAGAGTGGAGCAATAACTATCCTGGAAATCCTCCACTGCTCTTTTTTTCTTCACAATACGTGTGTCTAGATTTGAAGTAGATTTGCCATCACATTTTCTCATGTTCTTCTCATGGTAACTCAAGGTAACACAGGTAAAACCACATGGTGGCACAGAAGGTGGGGGGAATTCTTACGTGTGAGACTGGGGATAGGAAGCAGCTGCTAGGAAAAGAATCAACTCTATTGAGATTGTTGTAGGGCCCTTTATTTTGTTTAGGTACTCAGGAGAATGACAAGCGGCATTTCTCTTGGAGAATGTTTTCACAGAAAACCAAAGGGGAAGAAAACCAACATGAGCAGATGACAGGTCCTGACAATCAAGAGTTTTACTATGAATGATCTGCAGAAGAAGAAAGACAGATGTCTATTTCTGAAAAGTCTGCTCATCTGTTTCTTCAGGGCACCCCTGAGCTCCCGGTTCCTCATGCTGTAGATGAGAGGGTTCACTGCTGGGGAAACCACCGAGTACAGCACTGCCACAGCCAGGTCCAGGGATGGGGAGGAGATGGAGGGTGGCTTCAGGTAGGCAAAAGTGCCAGTGCTGACAAACAGGGAGACCACAGCCAGATGAGGGAGGCACGTGGAGAAGGCTTTGTGCCGGCCCTGCTCAGAGGGCATCCTCACCACAGCCCTGAAGATCTGCACATAGGAGAGCACAATGAAAACCAAGCACCCAGATGCAAAAGAGAGACTAACCACAAGAAGAGCAACTTCCCTGAGATAGGAGCTGGAGCAGGAGAGCTTGAGGATCTGGGGAACTTCACAGAAGAACTGGTCCACAGCATTCCCTTGGCAGAGTGGCAGTGAGAATGTACTGGCAGTGTGCAGCAGAGCATTGAGGACCCCAGAGCCCCAGGCAGCCGCTGCCATGGTGGCACAAGCTCTGCTGCCCAGAAGGGTCCCATAATGCAGGGGCTTGCAGATGGCAATGTAGCGGTCATAGGACATGACAGTAAGAAGAGCACACTCAGCTGTAGTACAGAAAAAGAGAAAAAATACTTGTGCAGCACATCCTGTGTATGAGATGGCCCCACTGCCCCAAAGGAAACTGGACATGGCTTTGGGAAGAGTGGTGGAGATAGAGCCCAGATCACAGAAGGCAAGGTTAAGGAGGAAGAAGTACATAGGAGTGTGCATATGATGATCACAGACTACAGCCATGATGACGAGACCATTGCCCAGAAGGGCAGCCAGGTAGATGCCCAGGGAGAGCCAGAAGTGCAGGAGCTGCAGCTCCCACGTGTCTGTGAATGCCAGGAGGAGGAACTCAGTGGTGGAGGTGCTGTTAGACATCTGCTCTGTCCGGGCACAGGGACCTGTCGAGGGAGGGAAGGGCCATAACAAATTAGGAGATGCTTCTCTGATCAAATCCTGTAACTCTTCTCACAGAAGACTCCCTATGTACCTTGTCTTTCAGAGAATATTGTGTCTCTCTCTTGATTAAGCCCTGGTTGGCTCTAAGGTGATCACAGGGAACAGGAGCACTGCAGGAGTCTGTTCAGCCTACAGCAGTAGTTAAATAGGAACATGCACTGACCTCAGAACATATCCACTCATAATATCAAAAACCTTACCAGCATTGTCCCTACCAATTAATCCAACTACAGAACAGCACCATAAGGTTGGATTTCATTTATTTTAATTTAATTGCCTCACCACACCAAAGGAGTGTTAAGGCAGAAAGCATTGGCATTGCTTTTGCACTCCAAGTGAAATCTTTTGGGTCCCACTAGGCAAAGGGACTATTCATTACTGCAGAGTGATGCAGAGCCACTCTGTCCATCAGCCCTGGTCTCAGCTGTGCTGACAGCTCTTTGAGAAGGAGGATGATTGCTCTTGTGTGCTTCCTTGTGAAGAACCTGCACACTGCTGAGAGCAGACAAATCCAGATTCCAAATGCAGAGGAACAAAACACTCACCCAGCCTCATTTTAGCTGAGGAGGATCTCAGTGCTCCTCACCTCGACACAGATAGAGAGGACTCATTGTAAATTCCCATATGGAGCCATGCATGGCTTTAGCACCAAGGTGACTCCTCCATGGGGCTAAGAGAGAAGGCACAGATACTACAAGAGAGGTGAGCCCTTCTGGAGGGCAACCTGCATCTCAACAAGAATCCCAGGGAAAGACAAGGGAACGTCTTGGAGACAGGACGTCTTGGAACGTCCTGAAGGAAGGAACAGGTCCTTGTGAGCACCAGAGAGCAGTGCCAGAGATCCTGAAGATCACTTCAGAAGAACCTCGATGGCATCATGAAGGTGATGCTAGAGTGCTCTGTAGGACAAAGTGGAGTGGGGAGGGAACAGGAAATTTCTGCAGTTCATCACCAACAATACTGATCTGTCAGTGCAATGCTCTAGGAATTACATCCTCCTGTAGACTGATATTCCATGCCCACGACACCTGCCTCCCCTCCATAACAGGAATTTGAAGTCACAGACTTCAGAAAATACCTTCCCCTTCAAGTATCTCATGCCTTCATCTTCTTCTTTAAACATACCCTCATAAATGTAATTCTCTACAACACCTCCTAACCTAAGTTAGAGGAAGAGGGAAAGCCATCCTGACAACAGTCACTGGATGTGCCAGCTTTGCCCTTTGATAACCCCACATACATCGTCCTTCAACCCAAGACTCACTGTGCTAGGATCCAACAGTTCATCCTGTTCAGAGCTGTTCTCTATTGCTGCACTCCACCCAGCCTTTAAACCTCTCCCATCTCTCCTCTCTCCACACCTCCTGCATGCTGTGGCCCTGCCCTGCTGCGAGCTGCATAGGAGCTGCTCCTGGGATTCCATGGTAAATAATAGAGATAGGGAGTAGCAGAGAACTGTACAAATACAAAAACTCCTGGTGACACTTCATGTGCCAGACCAGATTCTGGTCATAGAATTATTTAGGTTGGAAAATGCCTCCAAGACCATCATCTCCAACAGTTAAAGTAACACTGCAAAGTCCACCACTACACCAAGTTCCCCTAAGCACTACACTGCACATCTTGTAAATACTTCCAGGAGTGCTGATACAGATACTTCCCTAGGCAGCCCGTTCAGATCATTGATAAAGATATAAAAGAACTGGCCTAACTACTTAAGTCCCTTCACCACAACTATCTGGGCCTAGGACCCAAACAGATTTTTACCCAGCAAAGCATATGCCTATTAAAGCCAGGAGCAGTTTACACAGGAGCATGTGGGAGCTTCTCCAGGAGCAGTTTTACAGTCTTTCCCACTAAACAGACCAGTTTTCATAGCAGGAAATCTGGCTAGACAAGCAGGATCTACCTGTCATAAATCCATGCTGCCTGAGCCTGTCCATCTGCTTGTTCTGTATGTGCTGTGTGATGGCACATGAGAAGACCTATGCCATAACCTCCCCCAGCACTGAAATCAGAATGACGGGCTTGTAGTTCCCCCCGTATTTCTTCCAGCCCTGCTTCTTAGCTGACCTCTAGTCAACTGGGACCTCCCCCGATAGCCAGGATGGCTGACAAATGAGAGAAAATGGTTTGATGAGCACATTAGCCACCTTCTTTGGTACTCTTGGGGGGATCCTATCTGGTTTCATAAACCTGTGTGCATCTAAGAGTTGTTGCAAGTCGCTATCCATTTCTTCTTGCAATATGATGGCTGTTCTTGCTTCTCATCCCCATCTTCTAACTCAGGATGCTGGATCTCCAGAGAACAACTGGCCTTTCTACTAAGGACTGAGGCAAAGAAGGCATTAAGAATCTCATCCTTCATCACTGTATTTACCCCCACAACCAATAAAGAATAGAGGTTCTTCTTAGTCCTTCTTTAGTTGCTGATGTAATTACAGAAGCATTTTTGGGGTCTTAAATGGCAGTAGCCAGATAAAGCTCCAGGTGGGTTTTGCCCGTTCTCATTTTAGATGTACTGAGGGACGTGATTTAGTGAGAAATATTGATGATACATAGATGGTTGGACTGGATGATCTTAGAGATCTTTTCCAATTTTGGTGATACTGTGATTCTATGATTTCCTCACTGCATAGACTCATGATCTCTTTGTAGCCCTCTTAAGTGGCTTGCCCCTTCTTCCAATGACCATGAACTCTGTTTGTTCCTGTTTTAGCTCTCTGTTCAGCTAGGCTGGTCTTCTTCCCTGCCAGTTCATCTTTTGGCACGTGGGGATGGCCTATTCCTGAACCTTAGTATTTCCTTCTTGAGGAGCATCTAACCTTCCTGGAGACTTTTGACCATCAGGAAAATACCTGAAGGACTCTGTCAACAAGTCTCCTAAACAGACTGAAGTTTGCCATCCAGGAATCTAATGAGGCAGTTCTACTAACTTCCCTCTTCACTTTTCCAAGGATCAAAAACTATTAGTTTGTGACTGCCATGCTCAAAACAGCCTTCAACCTTCACATCACCCACAAGTCCTTCTCTGTTCACAAGCAAAAGTTCCAACAACACATCTTCCCAGGTTGGCTCACTCACCAGCTGTGTCAGGAAGTTATCTTCCACACATTTCAGAAACCTCCTAGACTGTTTTCTCCCTGCTGTATTCTATATTTCCACCAGATACCTGGTCAGTTGAAGCTCCCCATGAGAGCAAGGGCTAGCGATTGTGAGACAGCTACTTATACAGTGCTGCACCTGTCTCTTCATCCTGGTTGGGTGGTCTATAACAGACTCCCACCATGACATCTACCTTGCTGGCCATCCTGGTTCTTAATCATAAATACTCAACCCTATTGTCACCGTCATTAAGCTACAGGCAATCAAAACACTCCCTAACATATACGGCTACCTTGCTGACTCTCCTCACTAGCCTATCCTTTCCAAAATATTTACAGCCATCCACTGCAGCACTCCTGTCATGAAAGTAATTCCACCACGTTTCTGTGATGACAACTAGATCATAGTTTTCCCTGTGGCTCAAAGGCTTCCAGCTCTTCCCATTTGTTGCTCACATTTCACTTCATCTGGGTCAATGATCTCCCTCCAAGAAAGTGATGAGAAGCCCTAATTCCTTCTCTTCTCCACTGAACAATCCCAGTTCCCTCAGGCGCTCCCCATCAGACTTGAGCTGCAGACCCTTCACAGCTCCACTGTCTTTCTCTGCAACTCCGTCCCGTTGGCCTCAGCCCAGCAATCGGCCTGTCCAGGTCCCTCTGTAGGGCTGCCTGCCCTCGGGCAGATCCACGCTTCCTCCAACATGGTGTTGCCTGCAAATTTACTGAGAGTGCACTCAGTTCTGACATCCAGGTCATCAATAAAGACATTAAACAGAACAGATATTAAACAGATCCCTGGGGAACACCGCTGGTTACCGGTCACCAGCTGGATGCCATTCACCACCACTCTCTGGGTCCAGCCCTCCAGCCAGTTCTTTACCCAGCACTGAGGGCACCTTTCCAGGCCATGGCTGCAGCTTCTCCAGGAGAATTCTGTACAAAGTATAGCTCAACACCCAGGACTTAGACGATACTGAGGCTGTTATTCTCATTGCTATACATGCTTCTGACACCTTCACTGACGTTTTTGTTAGAACTGATGAAGGAACACCAAGGGAACAAGAAATTCACCTTGGGCTACCTCAGATGCTCTGGAGTACCAAAGAAATAAAGATTCATTTCCCTCACAGTCAGACTTGGAAGTCAAACTGAATAGAGAATAACACCCATGTGAGTTAGAAATGTTATTCAAATAGAGGTGTTTTAGGGTAACTGATACATTGCCATGGTGTGATACAAAACAGGGTGCATCTGGTATGAACCAGATACATCCTGGAGCAGCTGCTGGAGTCAAAGCAGACTTCTAAAAGTTAGAAGAACTCAGAAGTTCCCAGGCAATGTTATTGTCACGATATACTCTTAAGTGAACCACCAGTTCCTTTTTGAGTAATACAGACTAGTAAGCAGGTAAAAGCATATTTTTTTTTAATCTGAGCTCAAGGATCTGTTTACCATGAAGGGATTCATACCATGAAATGACCAACCAAGGATATCAGAAATCATAGAATTATATTATCATAGAAAGTTTTGGGTTGGAAGAGATCTTAATGACCATCTAATTCCAACACCCCTGCAATGGATGGGGACACCTTCCACCAGACCAGTTTGCTCAAAGCCCCATCCAATCTGGCCTTGAACAATTACAGGGAGAGGACAGCTGCACTTCTCTAGGTAAGCTGTTCCTGTGCTAAGCTGTACTGGGGGACAAAGGAATGGAGCAGAGCTGGCAGCTCTTTAAGGAGAGTTTTCTTAGAGCACCAGAGCTCTCCATCCCCAAGCATGTGAAGTGAAACAGGGGAGGCAAGAAACCAGCATGGTTGAAGAAGGACATTCTGGTCCAATTGTGAGATAAGGAGGAAATGCACACACTATGGGATCAGGGGTAGGTGGCCTGGGAAGAATATAAGGATGCTACCTAGATGTGCAGATCAGGAAAACCAGGCAGCATGTGGAACTGAACTTGGGAAGGGATGTGAAAGTTAACAAGAAGGGATTCTACAGGTACATCGGTCAGAAGGGAAAGGCTGTGGAGCATACACCCCCCTCTGGTGCATGAGAAGGAAGAAATGGCAACAATAGATACAAAGAAGGCAGAGGTATTTGAGCTCTTTATCTCAGCATTCAGAGGCAGCCAAGCATCTCTCAAGTCCCTGGACATCCACAAGAGGACTGGGGGAGCAAAATCCCTCCCACTGTAAGAGAAGAGCAATTTTGAGACTGTCTGATCAGCACCAGCTTTGTTTCAGAAGAAAACAGGGAGTAAAACAAAGTTATATTCTATAGTTGCTTTTACTTGTGACAGTTTGCATTAGCAAACAGTTTCGAGAAATGGTAACAGGGAATGTAGCAATTGGGCAGATCAGGGCAATGGGAAAGGGGTTACAACAAAGGTGTGATGACAAGAGAGAGGTGCTATAAAGGCAGCAGATTGCTCACCAGTACCTGAAGAATCTGGGTTTGCAAATGAAAGCTTCACCAAGGAGGGATCTCCAAGAAGAGATAGCAGTCAGCAGGCAGGCACAGTCAGCCCTTAAATGAGGTCTAAGAGAGGTGCAGCCAGGCTCCAATCCCTTCCTATCACACAGGTAAATTGCCTTCACCTGTGCTCCCAGGGCTGACTGGGTCTTTTGCCCAGATACTCAATCAGTGGTTCAGGCTGTGACTCAGCATTACCATACAGGGAGCTATCCCCTTCATCAGTTGTCCCGGTGTATCCCTTGCATGGATACACCCCCTGTAGCATGGGGAAGTTCAGATCCTGAAGATGGTGGGCTCTACAAAACAGCCTAGGAGAGAATTCACTGCTTCCAGACATTCATCCAGATGGAACTCTGCAAGCAGAAAGAGAATGTTGAGAGGGTACACTACTCAGAAAGGGAAGATAGTGTGTATTGAGTCCCATAGACTGCCACACAGGAGAAGGGGAAAGAGGAACCATGGAAATTGGTTGTGCATTTTCCAGGAAAGGCCCATAGTATGAATTTTCTAAGCAAAATCTTACCAGCTCTGTCCCACAGCCAACTACGAGCTTTGGCCTCCAGAAGTTCTGACCAGGACACCCTCCATTTATACTGGTGCAACCACACTAAGGCCAAAACTGTGGCAAAAACTGGCTTTACATCCTATTTGGGAGTGAGGGGGATGGGAAGAGATTGAACAATTAGTGGGAAGAAAGATAAATAAACCTTTGGACAAAGCTTTGTCTGAAAAAAAGTCCTCTGCACACACAAATTTATCTAGGCTTTAAAACCATCAAAGCCAGGAAGTTTCCAGATCATAGAATCATACACTCATAGTCTCATAGATTTAGACATGGATTTATAGAATCATAGAATGGCGTGGGTTGGAAAGGACATTAAAGATCATCTAGTTCCAACCCCCTGGCCATGGGCAGGTCTCCCACCCACCAGATCCCATCCAATCTGACTTTGAATGCCTCTAGGGATGGAGCTTCCACAGTTTCTATGGGAAACCTGTGCCAGAGCTTCATCACTTTCTGAGTAAAAAGTTTCCTCCTAACCCCTTATCTAAATCTCCCCTCTTTTAGTTTAAAACCACTGCCTCTTGTCCTATTATTATCAGACCATGAAAAAGATACCTGTGCTGATCCAATCTTTCCACAAGTAGAGAGGCTCTATGTACTGAAGGTTTTCATCTCCTGTCTGTTCAACTCATATTGTAAACTTAGAGCTAAGAAAAGTTCAGCTTGTGACATTTCCCCACACTTGACACTGATCTACTTACCTTACTGAGACTTTGTCCCTCCACATCAGCCTTCCTGATCCCCAAGGCAGAGATCAGGGCTGAGGTGAGGGCCCAGGACCCATTTGCTTTCTGGAGTGCCACTACTATCCTGGTACTGGAGAAGTTACACAGTTTTGTTGACTGTGGTGAAATTGTCCAGACCCAACTGGTGTTAAAAGCTGTTGGTTCTTCTATCATCTGCTCCTCAGGAGAAGACTCCTGCTCTGGAAAACAGAAATATTCACACAGTCCCTTTGAGATAAGCACTGGCCAGTCAGTTCAATAAAGGAAACTTGATGGTTGACGTTTTTTACAGGGGGAGGATGTCTTCATCCACAGGAAGCATCATGCCAGTGGGCTCTGATCCTGTTAGGAGATTTCAACCACCTAGGCATCTTCTGGAAGAAAGTGGCACAGCAGGTTGCAAGCAGTCTAGGAGACCCCTGGGACTCCCACACTCCTGGGTTGTGTTGAGGATAGATTCTTAATCCGGAGGATAGAAAGCCCAGTCAACAAGAAGAGATGTGTTACTGTGTCACAATACAGAGAACTCAGTGAAGTGGGCTGGATGTAGCATGGCTGCAGTCATCACGCCCCAGTAGAAGTAGTGATTTTGAGGAGTATAGGCCAGGCTACAGGGCAAGACCCTTACCCTCAGGTGGGCAAACTTTCAGTTGTTTGAGCATTGATGGATGGGATCTCCTGGGAAATTGCTTTCAGAAGTAAAGAAGCAGAAGAAATCTTGGATATATTTAAAGATATTTTTCTTAGGGTACAAGAACTCTCAATTCCAACATGCAAGAAATTGGGCAATGGAAAAGAGAGACCAGTGTGACTGAGTCAGGACTTCCTCATGATGCTAAAATTAAAAAAATAAATAAATAAATAAATTGTAGACAGTGGGTTGTAGATCCCAGGAAGATTACAGAGATACAAACTGGAACACAGGAGGTTCCTTCTGAACATGAGGAAACATTTCTTTGCTGTGTAGGTGACAGAGCACTGAAATAGGTATTCAGAGAGGCTGTGGAGTCTCCCTCTGTGGGAGTGCTTGAAAGTCTTCTAGATGTGGTCCTGAGCAATCAGATTTAGTGACCCTGTATGAGCAGGGAATTGGGACTGGATGACCTCCATATGTCCCTTCCAACCTCAACCATTCTGTGATTCTAGCCACTTGTTTGCATCAAGTATGACCCATTCTTCTTAGCTTCCCGCCTTATATTTCCTTAATCCATCCACCTTATTTTGTCAATCCATAGAATAAATTCAATCTAGAGAACTACCCATCAGATTTCTACAATTCTGAAGAGGTTGTGTTTCTGCAGCAGTACAGTTTTCCTCCTATCTGTTCCCCATTCTCTGTGTGTTTCTCTACAAACATTTGAGATGCCTCCAATATCACATAGCTTTTTCAGGGAAACGTGAGAACCTCCTCTGTCTCCTAAACATCTGCTTTATCCCTTGTGCCCTCAATTTCCTTCTGGTGTGCACTTATTTTGCATTCCTCATTAGAAGAGCAAACCTATTTGCAGAAGTAATGTAGGCTCTGATGGTTTTCAGCCTGTCCACCAGGGCTCCAGTTTATCCCTGATAGTGTCATTGCTGTCCACATGAAAGAGCAGTGATAGGCCCATGAGCCAGAAGAACCTTGACAGTCTCTGAGAGTTCCTTGGTCCTGACCTCTGAGAAGCAACATGCTTTCAGAAATATCAAGCTGAGTTGCCAGCTGAGTACCCCCACACACTGCAGGAGAGAGTTTCCAGTAACTATTACATGCCTTTTCCTCTCTACTTGGACAACAGATTCAGGCTCATCTAATTCTGGATGCCTCACCTGAAAGTCCTTTTTTGTCCTCATCAGTGTCTCAGGTACTCTCTCTATTCTGCAGTTCATAGAATAGAATCATAGAATAAGTCGAGTTAAAAGGGCCCTTAAAGACCTTCTGTTTCCAATCACCCCAGCCATGGGCAGAGTTTCCAACCATTGGCTCAGGCTGCCCAGGGCTCCATCAACTGGCCTTGAATGCCTCCAGGGATGAGGCATCCACAGCTTCTCAGGGCAACCTGTTCCAGTGCTTCATCACACTCTGAGTAAAGAATTTCCTCCTATTATCTAACTCTCCTAATTCCCTTCTCTTAGTTTAAAACCATTCCCCTTTCACTATCAGACCATGTAAAAAGTTGTTTTTTATAAGCTTCCTTTAAGTACTGTAAGGCTGCAATGTGACCTCCTTGAAGCCTTCTCCAGGCTGAACAACTCCAGCTGTCTCAGCCATTCTTTGTACTCCAGCCCTCTGATTGTCTCTGAGGCCCTCCCATGTATCCACTCTAACAAATACCTTTTCTATCTTGTGCTGGAGGCCTCAGTTGTGGACGCAGTTCTCCAGATGGAGCCTCACAAGGGCAGAGCAGAACAGGATAATCACTTCCCTCATCCTCCTGGCCATATCTCTTGCGATGTAGTCCAGGACACTGCTGGCTTGTGTCAGTCTTTTCATTCACCAGAACTCCCAGGTCCATCTATGCAAAGAAGCTCTCCACGAGTTCTTGTCCCAGTCTATACATGCTGTGGATTTCCCTGACCTAGGTGCAGCACCTTGCAAGACTGGTCTTACTGAACCTCATTCAGTTCATTCAGCTCCATTTCCTAAGTTTGTTTGGGTCCAGCATCTTTTGGTGTCATCTGCAAACTTGCTGAGGGTGTACTCGATCCCACTGCCTGTACCATTGGTAAAGATGCCAAAGAGTATATGTCTGAAGATGAACACCCATGGTCAACACTTGCCACTGGCCTCCACCTGGACATAGAGCCATTGACAACAACACTTTGGCTGTCACCATCCAACCAATTACTTATCCACTGAATAGTAAATTCTTCAGATCCATATCTCACCTAAATAGAGATAAGAATGTGATGTGGGACCATGTTAAAGGCTTTGCAGAAGTGGAAGTAGATGACATCAGTTGCTCTTCCTTTGTCCACTGGTGCCATCACTCCATCACAGAGCGCCACCAGATTATTAAGACACTATCCTGCCCTTGGTGAAGCTGTGCTGGATGTCTCAGATCACCTCCTCATCTCTCAGATGCTTTACTATATCTTCCAGGAGGTCTATTCCGTGATCTTCCAGGCACAGAAGTGAGGCTGACCAGTCTGTAGTTTTGTCAGTCTTCCTTTCTACCCTTCTTAAAAATAGGAGTGATGTTTCCCTTTTTCCCTGTCACTGAGGCTTTCATCTGACAGCCACAACTTTTCAAACGTGACGGAGAGTGTCCTGGCAACCACATCAATCAGTTCCTTGAAGACCTTATGATGGAAATCATCGGCCCCCATAGTCTTGTACATAGGCCACTCCAAAAGTGGCCTCAAACCTGTATTTCTCCAATTTGAAGATAAGGATGTGGTGCAAGACCATGAAGATGTTTTGTAACAAACTTAGAATTGTAGAATATTCTGAGCTGGAATAGAGCGACAAGAATCATGATAGCTGGAACTCAGATTAGTTCAAGGAACTAGCTGGTTCTTAGTTTCTAGCCCAGAGTCGAGAGGTAGAAATTTTTTTTGGCTATCTCTCCATCCATCCCCAGAGCACTGACAATCAGGAGTTCTGGTGACAAAATAAATACTGAAAGGAGAGTTTAACCCCTGCGCAATACATCAGAGAATCCCCTGATAAGAACTTTCTCCTTACTTTTACAGTGTGCTGAAAGCTGGGACAATACCTCCGTGTGAGAGGCCTTGGGACTCAGCGTCTCGAGACAGAGCTGGAACTTCTGGACCATTCAAAATTTGGTGGACTTGAACCATACAGGCCTGGAGCCACACAACCAGAGGAACTGGCAGGGAACCAGATTGCAAGAGAAAGAAAGAAGCATGGAGGAATCTGCA